TAGAATCAATAAATCTAGCACACTTGCAGACTACAAAACTAGTATACAATAGTATTTTTAAATACTAGCAAAAACATAAAGAATTTAAAAATATGCCAATTGAAGCAGAACCAGAAAAATCAAATATGTAGGATCTGCACCTTGAAAACTATAAAACACTGCTGGGATCAATAAAAGAAATTCCAAATAGATGAACACTTTATTCTGGAAATGATCCGTACCATGACTCAAGCAGCAGTTACTTGAGTGTGTACACATGTAAACATTTATTGTTGTATACATTAAAGATTTCTGCACTTTATTATAAGTGAGTCGTATGTCAATGGAAAAGTTTTTAAAAATTAAAAAAAAATACTGACAAACAAGCAAACAAAAAAAACCAAACAAACTGGAATGAAGATATAGATTTACTATATGCCCATGATACACTTTTGAATATTAGACCCAGAACTAGATAGATTAACCTGTCTATTCATTGGTACAGCTGGATAACTATAGCCCACATTTACTACAGGACAGAACCAACCAGAATCTTTGAGTCAAGAACCTGGCTCCAAATGAGAGAAAAACTGAGTTGAGCAGCCCAGTCCTCCTTCCTCCCTGCCCCCTCTCCCCCCGCTTTTTTTCCCCAAACCACCAATAGGTGAATGACCCCCTTCCTGGTAGGTGAGAAGAGAGAACCAGGAGTTACAGGCAGTTTCGTTACAAAGAGGCATGAGGTGAAGGAAAAGGAGGGCATCCCTCCCTATCCATGACTTATCTTCACTTTAGTCTTCTCTTTTGTAAAATGGTGATAATAGAGCCTATCTCATAGGGTGGTGTGAAGATTGAAAAAGATAACCTATGAAAAGGAATTTGCCAAAGAGGAGCAAGGCATAGAAATTTAGAGGGGAGAAAGACCTTTGGGAAGAACATCTGATTCATTTATGCTATCCATTTCTGTTTCACAGAAAAACATGACCCCTCCATTATTTGTATCATCTTATGGATTAGGAAATGGAGGCACAAAGTAGATCAAGACCCTTGTCCAAACTTCACAGCTTCTTGAAGATATATTTTTGCAGTATTTAAGCACAACTAGTCCAGAGTTCTTTCTGCTATACCACTCTGCTAAATAGCCATCCTAAACCACAGCAGATGAAATTGCTGATCTTTCTCCAAACTACCATGAATTTCCTGTTTTCAGAAGGTGTGGTGTCTATTCCTGCCCCCATGAGGGCCCTGTGGGCTGCTGCACTCAGGTAACAATTTATAGCCCCTGTGCTTTGACAATAAGAGCAAGATTAGTATTTAGAACCAAGGTAGCTGCTTTCACAACCCACTATGAAGTAGTTAGGCCGGTATTCTTTTGGAAGTAAATAAACCCAGTCAACTACAATTATTTGGTTCCATTTAGCATATTGGAAAAGGTAATGATTTAATGATATCCTAGCAGTCCCAAATATGCAACGCACCACAGAAAACGATTCATAAAATCCTCCTCTCACTAATAACTCTGAGACTAGTGTTATGAAAAGGCACTAAACCCCAGGGAACCAAAGTGTTTTCACCTTCCCACCAAGTGACAATATTATTAGTTTATAACTCTCTATTCACTAGTCACAAAAATATAGCATCTTTCGAGGAGAGGGAAACTTGTGATAGATGTTACTGGTTAGATGATAGAACCTTGAAACACTGCCAGGGACGGTTGCTATGGTAAAGAAAATAGTCCTGTAAAGTCCACATGACTTTCTCACTTTATGTCACATGTCCCTTACTTGCTAGTTTATTAGACTGGAACCAGCAGGGTTGAGACTGGGGTAATAGCTGAAGAGAGTTCTTACTGACAGTAAGATTCCCCTTTGAGAGCAGAGCCAGGGACCTGGCAGGGTAAGGGAGTGCACATGCTCACTTCAGATGGACAAACATACAGGCTGTTTTTGCTTGTTTTGGAAAAAGTTGTGAGCCATTGTGCTGCAAATATGTCCTAGAAACCTGTGTCTAGCCTCCTGGTTCTCTATATGGGAAACACTGACACAGTGAACTTTGTCATAGTCTGCTGTTGATAAACTGGGGGCTAGTACTTCTAGTCAGAGAGACAGCTGTGCATATCTGAAAGGACCCCAGGAAGAAGCCCCAAACCAGGCTTGACATTGATGCTAGTTCACAGCAGGATGCCCTGTCCTCCCTTACCAGAGAAGTGCCTCCTCTGTAGATTTCTGTATCTGCCTCTACGTGGCCAGTGAGTATAACAGAAAGAACAAAAACCAAGGAGGCGTTAGATTCAAGTTACTCCACACACCCTTTTCTCCCCTATAAAATGGTAAGATGAATGTCTATTTGGCAGGGTTATCATGAACTTTGGAGTTTATTTAGTGAGTATTGTATATAACAAAAACCCAAAAAGTGGTAGCTAGTATTATTGCGGTAGATGTTTCTCATTAAAAGTGGATACATGTAAATTAGTTAAATATCAATGAGAACATTCTGATTGTTTATGGTTTATATATGCATATGTATATACATGTATGTACACATATTGATGTGTGTGTATATATATCTATTTGGATATTAATCTTATCCATAATAGCAACAGGAGATAGATAGAGTTAGAGGAGCCATGGCTCAAGAGACATGTCTCACTTTACTGTTTGTTTTGTTTATACCTTTGTTTTCCTGAAATAATTATTACTAGCAACTACTTTCACTCTAAAAAGGGACTCAGTCTGGATGATAAATTATACAATTACCCTAAATAAGGATCAAGAGGAAAATGCTGATCACCCAGAAATCCAAAACCAGCTCTTATCTCAATGCTAATGAAGGAAGTATCCACTAAACAACAACTGGCTTAAGAGATTTGTACTTGAGGACACCGAATTAATTTTTATCTACATAAAATAAATCTTAAATAATAGTTATCAAAACAAAAACAGCAACCTCAACGGCCATAAGGTTTGTTCTTAACAGATAGTTTTCCATTTGGTAAAGAACACTGTGCGCTTTTTCTACATTTCCTACAGTTTGATCCTGGCATTGACTGTAATGGCAGAAACTACAGGTGGATGGTTTTAGTGTTGACTAGGATCCTTTAAGTGACCACTGCATTGAAGGTTATTTTGCCACTCAGTTTTTTGTCTCCCTTCCTTCCTTCCTTCCTTCCTTCCTTCCTTCCTTCCTCCTTCCTTCTCTCTCTCTCTCTCTCCCTCCTTCTCTCTCTCTTTCTTTCTTCCTAACTCATGGTAATTTCTCTGATTCTTGTAGATTTGATACTTAGCTTCAATATTTGGGGGTTGGGGCAAGCCTATAAGGGGTTGCTTAAAAGTAATCAGAAGGATAGTACTAATTTACCTTTTTTATTATCCTAGTAAATTTGGAGAGGGAGAGAGAGAAAACTAACATTAAGGGACAGGGGTTCTGAGTGGTAGACATAAATTACCCTAATTCAGTGATTTTGTAGCTATGGGAAAGAGAGTCTTTGCTTTCTGTCTTATATAATTGTGTATGCTTATTCTGTGTGGTTTAGTTCTAAAATACTCTTATACCTCTCTTATACCTCACTTCCTCATGGAAAATTTCCTTTCAATTAGGAAAATGTTACTTTATCAAATTATACTTTTAACAGTGTCCTATCAAGCAAAGCTGAAAGGTGGGTTAAAATGTGATCTTTTTCCTCTTCAAGCTGGCCTGGGTATTTGTATCTCACTCTTAGCTAGATGCACATGTATCTTTTTCACATTTTCAACTACATCTAAATAGATCATCCTTTAAATAGAACTCTTTAAAAATTTCCCTTTTCATCTCAAGTTCAATATCAAAGTCAAAGCTCTTTACCAATTCTTCTAAAGACTCCAGGCTCTCCAACTTCCTAAATACTCTCTGCGAGTCTTCCGCCCAGGGACCTTAGTGTCCAGTGACCTATTTAGGCTGGAACAAAGATGACAGCTGGCAGGGAGTGTGAGGGGCCTCATATCGTTCTAACCCCTACACAGCTGAATGGCTAACTTTCCTAACTTCTGGTGCTTTAAGCACACATCACATTGACCCCTTGCTATCAATCAAGCAAAGGAGGAAAAGCCCACTGCAGAGAAGAGCAAATTTTAGGAACCAAACACAAAGTCTCTGAATTATGCCAGTGATGTGCTCCAAATATATTTTGTTTTCCAAACTTCTTACCTTTATTTCAGCAAACCCAATTATTCCCCAAATTTCTCAACCATTGGAAGTTTAGACCTCCAACATGGAGCTTGTATCGAATGCAATAATGTTCTTGCAAAACTGTTTGGCAGTTGGAAATGTTTCATCCCCTGTGACATAGGTAAAAATGATCCCAGGATTTTTGACAAGTAATAACTAAAGGCTAAAATTAATGTGTTTTATGTCTTTTCCTTCAAGAAACATTTTAATTGAGTTTCTAATAATTAGTAAATGTGATTCAAATATCTTTGCCCCGCCAACCATATGTAAGAAGAGATTAACACTACTCAGTTCTTTTTAACTCTGGGTTTTTGTTTTGTTTTGTTTTGTTGGACTTAGATGTGATAAAAATGGTGAAGTCATTTTTTTAAAAAACCCAAAAGTTAGGTAATGCACAAATTGAATTACTATGAGCTGTAGATTGTTACAGAGGATACAAAAAATACTTTTCCAGTACCCTAATGCAGTAAGACTTTTAATATAAGTTCCTGTGAACCAAGAGGGAATAAGAGTTATTTCCATTCTTCCTTAAGGATTTCCTTACAATATTTGAAAGTCCTTTATTTTCACCTCTGTAGAGTTTGTTTGATACCTCGTAAAACCATTATTGAGTAGAGAAAATGAAACTGAATAAACCATTTGCAGGTAGAATCCCGTAGACCTCGCTATAAGAACTAAGCTTGCCCCGGTGGACCTGGATTTTGCCGATGTCATTACTCTTTCCCTTCCTCTGAGAGCCCTGAAAAGCATTTGAGAAGTAAACATGCAGCCCTATTCTTTATTCTTGTGACCTTGGTAGTGATCTACTTTTATTGTTACAGGCAATGAAAGCTTAGAAGAAAACTATGTCCAGGACAGTAAGATGGGCTTTGTCATCAACGCCATCTATGCCATGGCACATGGACTGCAGAACATGCACCATGCCCTCTGCCCTGGCCACGTGGGCCTCTGTGATGCCATGAAGCCCATCGATGGCAGCAAGCTCCTGGACTTCCTCATCAAGTCCTCATTCATCGGCGTGTCTGGAGAGGAAGTGTGGTTTGATGAGAAAGGGGATGCTCCTGGAAGGTAAAGCAGTATTTTCAGTAATGAATCCAAATAACCTTGTGAGCCTTCCTGAGCCAGACAGATGGCGACTATGGCTTCATCTGGTTTCATGATCTCTTTGTGCCACAAGGATAGATAACAAATATTAATAGTTTAAAAGTCAGCAATAATGGCAGATGGAAATTACCAAAAACACACCATTTTTTAAAACATTAAACTACTTTTTGGTAAATACCTAAAGCCCTATGTTCCGCCAGTACCAACCCATACCCAGCTATAACCTGGTCCTTCACTCAGAATGTTTGAGAACTCCCTGCAAGCCCAATAAACACCTGGCCAGGAGGAATTGCCCAAGCACTGTCAGCCCAGGGCAGCTGCTTTCTGACTGATTAGCCACAATTCTATTCTGGACATGAAATATTTTATATATTACACCTGCTTAAATAGCTTAATATGTGAAGAGAAGCGGGCCTCTGTGGCTCAGCCTGTAATCCCACGCTTTGGGAGCCTGAGGTGAGTGGATTGCCTAAGCCCGTGGGTTTGAGACCTGCCTGGGCAATCTGGCGAGACCTCATCTCTACAATAAATCAAAAAATCAGCCTGGCGTGGTAGCGCATGCCTGTAATTCCGGCTACTTGGAAGGCTGAGGCGGAAGGATTGCTGGAGCCCAGCAGGTCGAGGCTGCAGTGACCGGGAGCGGCCACTGCACTCCAGTCTGGGCGACAGAGTGAGACTTCAACTCAAAAAAAAAAAAAAAAGTGAAGAGAATTAAACCCTGAATATATGACCCTTTTCCTATGCTAACTTATGTTTCTGCCAATAAATCTCTTTGAACAACAATAACAACAAAAAGAACATTCCTTTTTCGTATTTGAGTCCCTGTGGCTTTCAAAGAATTAATCAGTCTAGGAGTGGTTGTTTATGCCTGTAATCCCAACAATTTAGAAGGTCAAGGTGGGTGGATCACTTGAGTCCAGGGGTTCAAAGCTGCAGTAAGCTATGATCACACCACTGCCCTCCAGCCTAGGCAACAGAGCAAGACCTTGTCTAAATAAATAAGTAGATAGATAGATGATAGATATAGATAGATAGATAGATTTAATCAAGCAAGAATCAAAAGAAAAATAAACCTATGTATGTGCATCAAATCTTCCACAAGTCATTTTACATATAGTATGCTCTGCATACTTGTCTGACATCACCAGTTGGTTCATACTTAATTGGTATCTAGAGAATGACATCAGTATAAAGAGTACGTAGTGGTGTTCATTCACATACCTTTTTCTAGGAAAGGGATAATCAGAATGTCAGGAGAAGAATTAAAATCTGCAGCAGGAAGAAAAAAGGTCCTCTGCTTGGCTGCTGCAGTTTGCCCACAGTCTTATAGATCTTGTTATCTTTCAGTTAGTTTGCAGACTTAGAGCTGTTTAGGAAAGCATATGCTATGTTAGAATGGAACATCAGATCATTTAATTCTCACTGCTATAGGTTTGTCATGATCCCTCTTTTACAGACAATAAAATTGAGTATCCAAGAACTGAGACATCTAATGTCACACAGATAGCAAGTGCCACACAGAGGCATGCATTCTGATGCTGAGACCTGCCATCTTTTGCCGCATCATACACTTTTTTAACTAATCCTAAAATTAGAAAAAGTGCCATTTCAGAAGAACTGTAAGAGACTATCTGACCCTAAATAATTTTCCACGTATCTCTTCTTTTTTGTATAAGTTTAAATTTCTACATTTGGAAAGTTCCTTGTGAGGGCTGAGTGAATTCTTTCTGTTAAAATCTATCAGCTCTAAGAAGGATAACTGATAAAAGTTACTGTCAACAATTAAAATAATAAATTTATCAGATTCCTTCCCATTCAGCCACCAGTTAAATGAGAGTACATTTTGACTGGAATGTTAGTGGGATGATTGGAATGATTCAGGACTAGGGCATGTGAAAAGCTTCAAAGAAGTGGTACCAGGAGCAGCAAGTGGATCTGAGATTCGAGCAGTGAACACCCACCTCTCTAAAACCACTGTTGTAATCCTGTGTTCCACAGGACACTAGGCACAGGAAAGGGTCAGAATTAGAATGCAAACCTGCCTTCATGATTCCAAAAGATAACATAACACAATGTACTTACTTAGCCCAGGGCCAGATGCATTGTTGACACTTCATAAATTACAGTTTCTTCCTCTTCTCTCTATTTGTAAGTTATCTTAAAAGTAGGCATACAATTTTGGCTTGTTTCTTCTCCATCTTTTAATTGAATATTCAAGTCACGAGATTTCCCCTGGGTCTTTTTCTCAGGGATCATTTCTCCCTGCTTGAAATTGGTTGACTTAATCTGTGTTTAATTCCTGTTTCAGCCACCTCCCTCTGCCTTCCCTTCCTATCACACCATTGTTTATGCCATTAGTTTCTCTTGTAATTATTTCAGTTAATCATCACACAACATAAACTGAGTTCATCGAAAGGGTACTATAAAGACATAATTTATACCATGAAGATATTTCAAATAAAAGCCAACATGCCTAGAAGGGACCCTGAGGTCAAGAGAAAAGAGCAGTGCTATGTAACACTCATGGTACAGGGGAGTCCTCTTTTTAGTAAGTCAGTATTTTTCTCTTGGTATCCTTCAGTATTTTTTTTCCAGCTTTTGGAACCTTAAAAACATGTTTCTTTCATACAAAAATATTGTGAATTTTTCTGTTTCTAAATGCTAATGAAGTGTGAACTGATTTTCCTTATGAAAGAGCAAATGAGGAAGTTGAAATTAAAGTCTTAGGAAACTGATTGAAAAGAAAAAGATATTCTAATGTAGCATTGCTGCAAAGCCTTCATTGAAAGTATGTAAGGAATTGTACTAATGCAATATATGAAATAAAACACAAAGATTACTGGAAATAAGAAAGGTAATTACACCAAACTTTCACAACAGGTTCTATAGCTATAATGAATTTGAAATT